TCGCCTGCTCAAGATCTACAATTCTACACAAATTCGAAATTTTTATTATTGGAAGGAGCAAGTTACGACAAGAAAGAAGAAGAACGAATAACTTATCTATGCAGAACAAAAATACACTTTCGTCGGAAAAATAGAAAAAAATTCAAGCTAGAATGAAAAAATAGAGGAAAGAGAAATTTATAAATGAAATGAGAAAGAGAGAACGAATAATAATAAAGTTCATTTGTATTAGTAATATATATTGTTGAATATAATACATATGGAAGAACAACACCTAGCATCTCTTAGTGATGATGAAGGTTCAAGTTTTGATGATGATAATAGTTCTGACAGTGATTCAAATGTTGAAATTACTTCGACTATTGATGAATGTGAAAATGAATTAGTACGTTTATCGACATATCTTCAATTAGAATCTGAATTTGATAATGATGATGATCAAAATTTCGAATGGCCTGAACCACCTTCAACATTAAACTCATCAGATTCATCTGATATTGAAGAATTACATGATTCTCAACAGATGTTGTTGTCCACAACACCATCCAATAATGGTGTTATTCAAGAACAATATATTAAACGTAAACGACGTCAATGGACAGTAAAAGAAAAACTTGATGCTATTACATTATTTGAAAATAATCAAAGTAAACGTAAAACTGCAAAAAAAAAGGATGTACACCTGCTCAATTACGAAATTGGATTAATAATAAAGAAAATTTATTACAATTGAACAAAAAAAAAAAGGTTTGTTTTTCTTTTCTTTTAGTTTAATGTGAAACTATCTTCTCTTTTATCTATTAGGTGGTAAACGAAAACGATTAGAAGGTGGTGGTAAAAAAATGGTATATATTGATCTTGATCATCAACTTTTTACTTGGTATCGATCACGAAGGACCGACCCGAAAGATAAATCTTTAGCTCCAGCTGATATTCGAAGAGAAAAAGTAACTTTTAGTCATTTGGAAAAAGAAGGTCGTCGTATTGCTAAACAATTAAATCATTCTATACCATCATCAAGTTGGTATATTCGATTTATGAAACGTCATGGTTTATCATTACAACAACCCAAGAGACAAGATAAAGTACCAATTGATGAAGTTCATCGTTTAGCTAATTCTTTTTATATGTACAATCGTCGTGTTAGTTTATGGTCGATTAAACGTGGTGCTATGGGTGCATTTATTCCTGAAGATATTTGCAATATGGATGAATCTCCATTGGCACTTTTTGGTGATCAAGCTAAAAGGTCTATTAATGACATTGGTACAAATAATGAAATAAATGGATACATAAGTAACAAGGTAGGGTGTCAATCTATATTTATCTTCCATTTAATTTTCGCGTAAATTTATATAATAAATAATTTATATTTATTATAAATGTAAAGTATCTTGTTACAAAATTTATTCGAAAATATATATTTAATTTATTATGATTTATATTTACGAATAAAAATGTAAATTAGTTCTGAAAATTTATATTTATTCGTAAATATAAATTATAATAATTTTAATTTATGTTTTCAAAGAAATTTTGCACCATAATAATTTGCATCTATAATAAATATAAATTTCTCATAATATATGTTTGTTATAAAGTAGACGATAAATGACACCCCTACGACAAGATAATCTGACAGATTGCACCCGATTTGTATTGTATATTTTATCATAAGTCAGATGTTTATCTTTTTTGAAAAATTATAATTTTTTTAATTGTTTTTCTCAATAGATTGAATATATATAAATGTATATATGAATGAAACATTTTATGAATTTATAAATCGTAAATATAATATCAACCTCATTCGTTCTGAGTACAAACTATATAGAAGGCTAAGTTTTTTTTCATTTTTGCATAGAAAGAGGAAATAATCGATAAACTCATATTTTATGATTTACAAAATATCATCATAGAGCATTTCACAATTTGTTGGATTTGAATTTAGTAAACCCTGCAAATACTATTAAATCTTAAAGGTTTGATCGTTCCTTTTTAATTATTTTAGAGATTTTGTACAGTTATGCTTACTGTTTTTCCAAAAAATCAACGAATGCAACCAGTTGTATTATTTAAAGGTAAAGGTAATATAGGTGTTGATGAACGTCAAAAATATGCTAAAGGTGTACATGTTATATTTACACCAAAATGTGTTATTAATGGACAATCAATGAATATGTTTTGTAAAAAATGGTTAGAAAAGGTAAGACAGTATTGTCTGAGCACAGAAACAGAATGTATATATTTGAATGTAATACACTGATAGTGAGATTTTTATTATGAATCATCTTCAGAATAAGACGAAAGAATAGCATCACTTAAAGAATTTCACAAACATTATGATCTATTTTTTCAACAAAGATTTTTTTTATCTGATAGGTGAGTGATGGTCATCCTAAACTGTTCATTATCGATTCTGCTAATTCTCATCTAAAACCTGAAATAATTCAAAATCTACGAAAGAAAAATGTTGTAGTATCTATTATTCCAAAAGGATGCACACAATATCTGCAGTTACTTGATACATCAGTCTTTTCGGTATTCAAGAATCATTATCAAGGTGCTGCTAATGAATATATTGATAATTATACTTCACGTAGTAAGATTAAATTAACAGCTAAACAAAAAAGAATTTTATGCACTCGTTTAATTTCAACAGCATGGATTCGTACTCAAAAAAGTTTTGATTTTGAACGTGCTTTTCTAGATATTGGCTACACATGGATTGATGAATCTCCTGTTTCTATTCGAACTTTACCAGGATTTCTTTTTGATCCATCAACAGTAACTATTTCAACAACTAATAATAATAATAATGAAGAAGAAGAAGATAATGAAGATCAATTGATAGCAGAAGAAAAAAAAAAGAACTCATATTTGTTTAATATGAACAACAACAAAATGAAACAGCTTAATCTAGATCAGTTTTTCAAAAGTGAAATATAATTATAGTTCTTTTTTTTTCATTTTTTTTGTATTTTTACTTTGTATGTGAAAGATAATGATGATGAACTAATTTAAATATGTTTTTATAAGATATAATAACAATATATGATCTTTTATGAACTAAGTTTCATATAAAAAGAACACTCATAATAGAAGACCCCTGTAAAAAAATTGTTCACCTTAACATAATAGAAGACCCGGAGTCTTTTATTACGGGGGGGGGGGGGGGTTATCATTATAGTTTGTGACGAGAATATTCAATCTGTGATGTAAAATAATCAGCATTGGTTTTACATGAAAAAGACTGACTTTGTTACAATACAAACAGTTTCGTTCGATTCAGAATGATCAAAAACCTATAGACATCGCATTATAAAAACTTATTAAAAAACTAGCGAAAAACCGGTGTTCCGAGCGTTTTTGACCATCAGTGTGAGGTGTATAATTTTTGAACAAAATAAAATAAAAATTTCGAATTTGTGTAGAATTGTAGATCTTGAGCAGGCGA